ATATTTTTATTTATTGATAATTTATTTTAAAAATAGTAAAATTTAATTTATAAATAGTTATAATAAATAAAAATTGAATTTAATAAAATGTTAAAAAAATTATTAAAAATGCTTTAATTAAAAAATATAAAAAAAAAACTTTTCATATAAAATAAGGATTCATGCTTAATATATAAAATCAATTTTGATAGTACATATATTTAGTGGTGCGTTGATTGTTTAGTCGTTTCTTTCAATGCAACACGCTTTTCCAGTTTTCCGAGTAAGAATAAAGGGTTGAGATTTTTTTCCGCATGCATGACTTGTGTTGTGAGACGTGTGAAAAGTGAAAACTTTCAATAGAAAACTCAGTTTCAAACTTAAAACACACTGGTCCTCGAACGTGTTCAAATTTAGTTTAGAATATTAATATGGAGATAAGAAATCTTTGAAAATTGTAAAACTTGATGTAAAACTTGCCTAGAAATGTTCAATATTGTCCCAAAATAAAATGAATTTTTAAATTTATATTATGATGATAAGTGCATCTACTATGGTCAATTTAGTAGAGAGAAAATTTGAATAGTTTAGGGTTTAGATTTAATTTTTATTATTCTATATGTCAAAAGAAATATGTTATTAGGATGGTTGTGAAAATTAAATTATTTTAATTATTGATTATAATCATAATGATTTTTTGTTGAAATTTAAAATACTTTTAAAATATTTAATTTTATTTAAATAAAATAAATTTGTTTTATATATTTGTTGGCTATTGGTTCTCAACCATATTAGATATTTGATGTGTAGAATAGTTCCTCTATTCATAAGTATATAAGGCATAGGTGCAGCCTCTGTTTTCTAACGCTAACAGAGAGAACAAACTTGTAATCAATTTCTTAAGAGAAACTTAATCCCAATGGCTGCCCCGTGGATGTAGACTGTTTAGTGCATTGCTCTAAGTCGAACCACGTAAAAGTGTTGTGTGTTCGCTCCTTATCTTTGTTCTCTTAATTTTCTTGCTTGTTTCT